TCTATCATTTTTTCGCGCACTGTACATGTATCTCCACAGCAACCTTTGGCTGTGAACAGGTTGTCGTCGTTCATGGTGTCGTCGGGGTTCGTGCTTTGTTCAAGTGGGTTGGTCTTCCAGGGTCGTCGTGGCCCTTGTCGTGTGTCAACATCCTCAACAGAAAAGACCATTTTCGTTGCCTATCAGTTTGGTTTGTACGAAGCGCCGGTGGGGTACACAGCAGCAGGTGCGCCGATTTTTTTGGCAGACTCTTGCCAGGCCAAAGCAATGCACACGACGCCATTGCATTTCGCCGTCCCAAACTCGTTTTTGCTGGGTCCATGCAAATGGAGTGGACGAGAAAACAAGCCATTGGTGCCAGTTCCCGAGAGCCACGACGGCGTACGCCGATGTGGGCTGGGTCACGGATCATGCCGCGACAGCCTTGCTCGGCCACCAAGGTACACGATCCACCCGAGAAATCTCGTCGTCAATCGAACAATCGTTGGATGATGGCGCCTCCAAAAGGATGCGCGATGTCGTGCTCTAACATGACGGCTGATATTGGGAATACGCTGATGGGAATGCGTCGTCGCTACGGGGCAGCGGGGTGCTCAATCTTGGTGGCTTTGACCGATAGTCTACGGTAGATCGATCCGAGTTGTCGTGCAGAGTGGTGACCCCGACTACAATGTTTGTTGGGGATTCACGAGGTATTGGGGGGGGCGTCGGCCCCCGTCCAGGTTGTCCAACCCAGGGACTTCAACCATGGACAATCGTTGGGGAGACTACATTAAAAGGAAGCATGGAAGCAGGACATGAGGGTAACGTGATGGTCGTGTCGAGGGTAGTCTTGGCGTTGGACAAAGTGCCCGCCCCCCAGACAGCGCTCTGTCAGGTGGGCTTGTCTTGGCGGTGCTGGCCCGTCCGCTGTGCTCCCTCCCCACTCCAATTCTGGCGTGCAACGACCACACTCAAACACATCCATCATGTTGGGGAGCTAGCAGCTCTTAATTGTCGCTGTCGACAATGTTGTCAATGGCATTGCGCAGCTCGACCAAGAGGTCTCGGTGGTACCAATGCGCGTTTCGTTCCTGTTCGTCTTCGAGCAGGACATGCTTGCCTTTTCTGGAGCGGCGATGGGCGGGCTTCTTCGCTTCGTCGAGGAAAATCTTGCGACCATACCGGTAAACGTGCCGTCGCGAGTCGTCCAGGAGCGCGTGCTCTTGACCTGGTTCATGCCAAGGATCCACAGGCTTGGTTGGATCTTCTATGGCATCCCCGTCGAGGGAAGCATCGAGGAGGGCTTGCACCAACTCGTTGTTATGGCCGGTTGCGATGACACCGTCTGTCCCCGAGATCACGGCCCACTTGAGGTCGTGGCTCTGTACAGCGTCCGTCAGGTGGCCATCCGATATGACTTGCGTGCTTCCGTCCAGCGACCCCAGCAGCGAATCGACAAAGTCCTTGTTGTCTTCGTCGGCCAACGACGCACGGAACGTGTGCGTGCTTGGCGCACGGGCATTTTCGTTAAACCCTTGCGTCTCGAGCGCGATGCGCGTGTCGGGCGACGAGGCAATTGCAGGCACGTGTGGGCCACGACGTGCAAACTCGGTCTCTTCCTGATCGGATGGCTCACGTGGAGATGGGTCGCCGTTGAACTGGCCATGGTTGATAATCCACTGGCGTGCGCCCGACACAGTCACGGCGCAAAGGGCAAGGGCGAGCGCGGTCTTCATGGCAGATTTCAAATTGACCAAGTGACAGCGCTGCGGCCACAAACACGTTCGAAAGCGACCAAATGGTCGCGTCGAGGACGCTGGCAATTCTTCTATTCATCGACCGTCGCAGCCACGTCGATTCAAGATGGAAACGTCGAGCCTTGCCAGTCTTTGACGAACATTTTCAACGGTTTCCTATGGTTCGGCAACGAAACGACGGTCGGGCATGAGGCACCACAACGCGTGCCTCCTGCTTCCACGTCCCTTCATGATACGGTGGATGGCGGAGCGAGTGTTATTGCAGGCACTCGCTCCGCTTGCGTCGTTCCAAGAAGCACTGGTTGCTACAACACGATATTTATCGCAACCGACTCGTTTGCAACTGGTGGAAGAAGGACAAGGGGTGGGCAGAACTCATAGACTTGGAGACGTCCACTGGTTCGACATCGAGTCTGTTGGCAAACAGCGGACGACGTTCCTGGTCAAGGGAATGGTCAACAGAGCATCGAATCGGGTCACAAGTCTAGAAGTTGGGCTATGAAATGCCCGCGCGTTCGCTCCCTTTTCGTACATCGGTGGCAACGTTCATGGTTTCCGACAAATCCATCCCTTGGGTGAACCCCCAGGGGCGACACACCCACGGCGTGCAATGGCATCGCATGCACACGTCGTAGCGAAAACGAACCGTGCCATGCACGTAACCCCGTGCTGAGGTGCGCTGTGCGCGCATCGTTGGAGCCTTTGCCATCACGTTCACGACGGATGAAATTACGCATGACGACTCTGGACCTCTGGTTTCCACATGTGTGCGGATAAACTTTTGCTGGCGCACACGCCAAGTGTTGTCAACAGCTCGTGGACAAATCGGCGGACAACCGACTGGATCAAAGGTCACTCTGGATGCTCCAGGCTCTCGACGTCAAGCATGCAATAAAGCTCACCCTTTCTCCAGAGGAAGTTCCCTAACGGCGGCGCCGAAAAAGGGCTTCAACTCCCTTTTTCCAGGGGCGCGCCACGAGGCTCGATGAAGCTACGGTGGGGCAATGGTTGGACGGCATGTTCATGCCTGCACCCTGTGACTCGATCGAAATGGTTACACGTGGCCGCATGGCGAACCCATGTGTGGCGCAAAATTGGAAAATGATTCTCGCTAATATCATGAGCAGTCGATGAGGCAATCGGCACTCGAACCGTGCTCTGCTCCACCTGGTGCTTGGAGGGATCGAGCAGCACATGTAGTGTGCACTAGCTACGCTCCAGTCGATGCTGAGCACAAGTGACCACAGGGCGTATGGAGCTGCGGAAGTTCACGTTGGAAACGATTCCAGATCAAGTGCCAAGGCATCGACACGTTGGCATTCGCATGCCAACAAGACAAACTCTAGATGTCGGCGGTCGTGCGAACGTTGGTGAGCCACTCTGTGAGTCTGTAGTGTGACCAAGTCATTAACTTGTTCATGGAAAGCAAAGCTCGACCGTGAGTGCGTGCGTTGGGCGCAGACATGGACTGTGGATTGCCGCCGTTGACGCCGCCCAAAGCAGCGGATGTTTGCGTCTCTGATAAACATGATCGTGACTGGTATCGCCAAAGACTGGAGGACCATTGCACGTCACGAAAGCGATCCTGGATTTGTGGGTTCTGCACGTGTTGGCGACGCCTGTTGGAACGAAAGTCATGGCATCGTAACACGTCACTTTAGCAGAGACACATGCACCATCCATTGTCAGCAAGAGCGCACACGGTGTGGTAGACTATCATGCCATGGATGCGTCGCACGAATTTTGCAGATGACCGTGCAGAACGCATGGTCGCTCGCAATGCGAGTGCTCCCATGTACAAGCGTTCCGCCTTTGCGTGTATGGTATCATTCTCCCGTGCCACATCGAGCATTCGCTCCGTCGTGCGCAGTCAGGCAGCAGCATCGCCCTCCACGAACACAACTAGCATGCAATCCATTTGAGTCGGCGGACTGAACTCCATTGTATTCACCCCCAATCTCCAACGCGCCAACGTTGCAGTGATAAGCATCCCAAACACTGAGACTGCCTGGTAAACAGCCGACAACGATAACCAGTAGCCGATAAGGCATGGGCAAGCGAGAGTAAATCAAAAAGGGAGCCCACCAAGGACACGGTGACCCCCATGTAGACGTGCGATCGCTGCGCTTGGGTTTGATCGCAAAATCCCCCTCCACCACGACGACCTACATTAAACACGCGCCAAGCATGCTTGCAAGTGGAGCTGTTTGTTAAAGTGTTGCCATGCCGAAGGACGGCCGATCGACTTTATCGATAGAGGTACGTGGTGCGAGTTGCGTTTTTGGTTGGACGCCACGTTGGCGCGAAAGTTTTCAGCAGTGGCCACACTGTGTCTGCGGCGCTCGATGCGGTACCGAGGGCAAGAATGCACCTGCCTTTGGTGTTGTTGAAGGACATGTGCACACTTTGGGGTGCCGATGTCATGCTGCTTGTGAAACATCATCAAGCCATGTCCATACTGGAGATGGAGCTCGCATCACGGCAAGAGCAGGCAGGACAAGTCGAAACAACATGGCTAATCGTGTCGAATCCGTCGCCACCACGTTGGCGGCACACCAGGCTCGACTGGCCACCGTGACGACTGCGACATGCGGGCACGAGGCACACTTTGTCCATGGTCGTGAGCATGAAAAAGCTGTGGTAAGCTTGGTCGTGTGCAACGGAATAGTCGTCGGTGGTGCTGTTGAGAGAACCACACGACTCCGTGGGTTGTGCTCGCCGTGAGGTCGGCCACCGCTCTAGCAGCTTTGTCGGTGTGGATTTCGCTCGCTATGGTGCGACCTGAGCTAGACTCATCACCCACAGCCAACACGAACGTGCGCCACGGGGGGCAGTCGTCGTGCCATCGAAATACGACATCAAATGGCTGCGCGTGTATAGTTTTTGTTCGCCGCACATTTTTGAAACACTCTTGTTGTCAAGGTTACAACACCAACGCGCGTTTTCAAGGTGTGGATGACGTCGGTGTGGCTCCGTGAGACTAGGACATGGCAAGGTCGCAGCCGCTTGCGTCGTGAAAGCCATGCCGACCTTCCCGCAGTGATCGACTTTTGTTGGAAACCAAAACGCTTCCCACGCGCTGTTCCGTCGATGGCCCTCGCTGAAAAGTAGCGACAGCAGCGGCGTTTGATGGCAGCGTGCGCTGGTGCGAGCGCGTTGTCCAGGTGCAAATATCACTCGATTCGTCGCAAGAGATCCTGTCGTCAGCAGCATTCCGTGTCAAATGCGCCACCAACTCGCGCCATGGATTCGTGTACACTTAGCTAGTTTGCTACGGACGTGCAAACGACAAATTTTTCCGTCGATTTCCATGGCATGTCAACCCGCGACCAACGGATTTGCTAGCGCAGCATCAAGTCCGACGGGCAAAGAGCGTATCGAGGACGAGTGCTACCGCATCACGCAGGGCGACGGCTTTTGTGGACAAACGGCACAGGTCCTCGGATGGTGCCGCGTCGTTAGCGATGTCCACGTTGCTGGCCAATATGTCGACTGCGTCGAGCAGCTCGCGCAGCTGCAGACCAATGTCGGAGGCATCAAAGAAATTCTTGGAGATTCGGGCTTTCAGTCGAGCCAAGTGGGCCATGTGGTCGGCGCATTCCTTCACGAGGTCCTCAGTCGTGGTTTGAATGTCCATGCGCACGTGATGTCGTTCGTCAAAGAGCAGCATGAAAACGAGCTTGGACGTCGTTTTCAACGTCGAGAGAAGCGACGACAGGACCGAATCGTCGGGAGGGTATTTTCCCTTGAAGAGCAATCGCTGAGACCGGACAGCGACTCCCGAGAGTCGTTCCACGTGCGTCTTGAGGTCGAGGATGGAAGATGTGGTGTCCAAGGCCATTCTGTAGCGCTCCTTTGCACGCACGACTTCCACAAGCACTTGATTATCGCCAACTGGTATCACTTCGATCACTCGTGGAGGAGGCGGAGACGGCGTTGGTTCGATGGGATGGACAACTCGTGTGGCGGTCGATGGCTTCGTAGGCGTATTGGAATGCGATCGGTTTAGAAGCATCATCTTGGGCTTGCTCGGAAGGGTCGCAAGCTCCAAAATCGTCGCATCGGCACGTTCCTTTCCCCGAAAGAGCAGCTTCTGGGAAGCCACAGGGATGCCAAAAAGCGGCTCGATCAGCTCCTTCAGTTTGACGACAGGAACTTTTCCATCTTCTTCAAACGGGATGGCCATGGCTTCTTGCTGTTTCCCAAAGGAGACCGTGATCTGAACATGGTCGTCGGCCATGTTGGTCGTCCTTCGAAAGGTAAATAATGTTACACTATTTATATGTCGAGCGAAATTTTGTCGACAATATCGTTGAGATTTGCCAAAATTTTCTTGAAAAGTTTGGCAAAATTTGGTGCATATCGTTTCTGCACTCTGTGCATGGAGAGGTCTCGTTATGTCGATACAATCGCATTGGGAATGAAGAATGACAAACTCGTGGTGTGGCTCGGCGAATTGGTGCATCAAGTGTCTGTCCAGAGGTCTGTTCTAACGATGGTTTTCACACACTCTTTCGTGAAATTCCGTCATTTTCAAATGTGCATTTTCGAGTGTTGTGCTTTGTTGGAAGATTCCTGTTGGAATGTGATAAATATTACTGATATTTTCACAAAATTTTCTACTTCACCCATCCAACATTGGTTGAAATAATTGGTAAAATATCCCGAGTGAGTCCACAGGTAGCATGCACGTGGCAACCGCTGGCCTACTCGCCGGACTTGCCTGCGCACATGCAGCGTCCGAGATCGAAGACGGCGCTCTTCGTTGGGGCACGTATCATTCTGGCCTGTACTTTGGCATTCGGTCGCGAACGTCACCGTACCATGTCAGTGCGGGACTGCTGTGGGCGACGTCGAGCGAGTCGAGCCTTCGCCATGAATGCCTCGAAAGCGATCGGCTTGAGCAGTACGGCTGGCGAGAACATGACGGGCGTACATATGGAAGGCAGTCCATTCGTGATCAGCACAACAACTTGTTACTCGACACAACGTTCTTGAAGCCACCAACGTCGCCAACAACGTTTGCCACGCGGTCGTGGGCTGCCCGCATTGCAACGTCTCAATTGCGTGCCGACGATGCGCTTCCAGCGTTGAATTCCCTGTACTTTTACATCGATCTAGGATGCGAAGACGACTCGCCGCAGCACCCCTGCCGCCGTGACACGCAACAAGGTGTGGTCCCAATTCCGTCCTGGGTATCGACGTCATTCTTCCTCTGTGTTGCGGCAGGAGCGACGTGGACGGTGCGGCCACCGACACCATGCCGCCAACAGCCCTCCGATGGAAAATCGTGTGTCGAGATGGAACTCATCTCGGAGCACGCGAACGACCAATTTTCGTTTCATGCGCGGTACCAGGTGCATTTCCACGGCAGTGCCAGCGACATGGACATGGCGTATCATGGGGATTCGTCGTGGAGCGTCGTGAATATCAAGAAGGCGCTGGAAGACTTGGCTTCCCGTCAAGCGATCGACGACGCGTCGCCACAAGTGGATCCTTCGCCCCAGCTCAGCAACCGCATCGCTCCATCCAGCACCCTGGCGGTCGTGCTCGTTCGATATCCTCCGTCGCGTGTGCAGGACGTTACGCTGCACCTGTTGTACGATGAACAAGTGGAGGCTGACACCTCTCCCGTCGTCGTCTTCGACTCCCTCCTTCCATCGTTCCATGCAGCGTTTACAACCAAGTTCGCCGCCGCCTTCCCAACCACCAGTGCCTTCTCGGCCGTCGGGCAAGCTGCGCTGAGCAACCTGATTGGGGGCATTGGATATTTCTACGGCAGGTGCGCAGTTGCACGTTTGTGGTTGACGTGTGGATGAAATTCTCCATCAGCACGGTCCTGCAAGAGGCCGACGGCGCGGTCGGCGTAACTCCTGCGCGGTCCCTCTTCACCGCAGTGCCATCCCGCTCGTTCTTTCCCCGCGGCTTCCTCTGGGACGAAGGCTTCCATCAACTGGGGATCATTCCATTCGACCCCGATGTCGCGGTACAAGTTGTAGATTCGTGGTTGAACCTGATGGACGGTGATGGGTACATCTCCCGGGAGCAAATTCGAGGTATCGATACACGACATCGATGACGCAATTCGCAATCGTGTGACGACGTATGACGCGTCAGGAACTTTGGCGGAGGCCCGCGTCCCCGCCGAATTTATCACGCAGTTCACGACCCATGCGAACCCGCCGACGCTGCTGCTGTCCGTCGACAAGTTGCTGTCGCACATCGTCGGCACGCCGATCCTGGACTCGTGGTGGCCCAAGCTCCAGCGGTGGTTCGAGTGGTACCGTCGCACACAAGCCGGCCCCGAACCCAACACGTTTCGATGGCGCGGGCGCGACGTTCACGACGGCAAACTCATGCCCAACACGCTGTCGTCGGGGCTGGACGACTACCCTCGGGCGTCGCACCCGTCCGAAGATGAGCGCCACGTCGACCTGGCTGCTTGGATGATCAAGGTCGAGTCATGCGTGTGGATGGCTGGCTTTTCGAGATTTGACGTGTCGCCCACGGTAGGGTAGTGCGGTGTTGGCCAAGGTCGCCAAGGCCGTCGGTGACGACGCCAAGGCGTCGAGCTACGACAGCCTGTCGCTCTCGTTCCTATCCACCATGGACAAACTGCACTGGGATACTGCCACGTCCTTGTATTTCGACTATGGGCTTCATAGCGACGACGGGATCTTTGAAGATCACATTGTTATTCGATGCCAGAACCCGTCGACCGGCGACAGGTGCGTCCCATGCTACGATCGGGTTGGCCTTGCACGTAGGTGCAGAACGCACTCGTGACTGGATTTCTATCGTTAGCATTCAAACCACAGCCAGTGTTCACGTCCTGCAAAAGGCACGCAACGACGGGTGCCCTCGCACCCATCCCCAATTCCAGTACCCTCTCGGCGATGGCCATGGAGGGCTCTTGACCAAGCAAGTGTTTGTGCCCCAGACGGTTGGTCCATCGATTCAATGTCGAACGACGTCTTGACAACGTTGCGCTCGACAGGAAGCGCTCCAGTTTGTGCGTCGCGTGGGCTACGTATCGTTTTTCCCGTTGTTTTTGCAGTTGCTGCCGTTGGATTCGCCCAAGTTGCAGCCCCTAGGGACGCAGGTGGCCCAGCACTTGCTCTCTCCCCATGGACTCCTGTCGCTATCGCCTGAGGATTTGTACTTTGACCGACCGAACGCCCCAGGCGACGCCCCGTACTGGCGCGGGCCCATCTGGATCAACATCAATTACCTCGCATTGACCAGTTTCAAGCACTACGCGACCCACGCCATGGACAAGGCCGTTCGATCGCAGTACCAAGCCTTGTACTCGTCGTTGCGAGAAGGCGTTGTGACGTCGATCGTCAACGAGTTCGACGCGACGGGGTACTTGTACGAGCAATACGACCAACGGACCGGACGCGGCCAGCGCTGCCACCCGTTTTCGGGATGGACGGCATTGATTGTCAACATTCTGGCCGAGACGTACTAAGCCAGCAGCGTCGGGATGCGATGCATAATGGAGACCGCGCACGGCGCTGCATGTGTTGTCTTGGTGATGCAAGCATCGGTGGGGAAGGGGCTGAAGGCGTCCAGCGTGTAGCACGTCCGCTCGTGCTGGGCGTGAGTGGTTTTGAAGATTCGTTCAACCTGTGTGATGCAGTGATCGCGGGGCGGAATACTGGATTTGTTGAAAAGGCGGCCGGGAAGGTGGAATGTGTGGATGGGTGGTGCAGGCGTGTTTGCCAGACCCAATACCCCTGCATACGATATTCGATCCTGGCCTTCCTCTTGAACGCGCTCGACAACGACAGCGGAGAAACGTAGGATTTATCATTCAGAGAGTTCAAACGAACTACAAAAGAACGCAAATCGTGCATTCCAAGGTGGCTCCAACTACGCGTTAGCAAGGGCGATGAGTCTCTGCACGAGCGGAAACAAATCAATGGTTAGATGGGGGGGCCGTGAAATGAGCTGGAATCGGTGCAAGTGCTGGAAGCCCCAACAGGCGGCGCGACTCCAACACCACGTTGGTGGGATTGACGATAGGTATCGCAACCGTCGGTACGATGGTGCCATCGACCACTGCATGCAGCTTGTACTGGTGGACTTGCAGATCGGGGGACAGCCGAATGAGGAGGATGTATTCGACTCCAGGAAAAGCGCTCCATTGCATGGCTCTTTCGTCGAGGCATGGCCATCCTCTGGTCACTCCCACTTCCACTTTCAGCGTGTGATACTCCCCCCAGGTCATTCCATGGGGCAGCGTTGCGCCAAATCCACGGGCAGGACCAAAGCTCGAATCTGGCTCGATGGGCGCAAGAGCGTCCACGTAAGTTGATCCACACGATAGCAAGTGCTCTTCGCCCGTACCCGTGGCAGAAATCACAGCAAAGTCTAGAGAGCGCGAGAAACTCTCGTGAATCCACCCAGGCAATTCGACAATGTAGATCTTGCCATCGTGCCACGCCATTGCGCGCGACATGAGCACGTGGTGTTCGCATTTCACATATCGTGTCCAATCGGCCAGCGAGACTTCACACACAAACACACCCGGATTCGTCTCGGCACGCATGGGAGAAGTCAATTCGGCATTGACTTGCTTCATATCCATCTTCCGGATCAAGCGGTTGATGCGTTGGACCGCCATATTCTGCGCAGAAAGCGACGATTCCCCGTCGCCACAACATGCGACACTCATCGACGTGTCCAGTCTCGTTGTGTGTGAAACAATGACCATGAAGGAACGTTGTCGATACATTTTTCAAGTGCACGCGCCATCGTTGAATCCCGTTTGGTGCTCGTGTCTTCAACGGTACGACGACGTTGGTTTTGTCGATTCCAACATTCCCGAGATCTTTCCGACATGGCCAAGGCGCTGGGATCGACGTTGCTGGAGTTGTGACCGCCGTGAGCCCAGACGAGACGTTGTTTGCTGTCGGGGACCGTGAGTGTGGCAATACAGACGGGGGCGTTCGCAGACCATGCCGAGCGACTCAACTGGCACAGCTTCCGTCTTCGTTTTCATGTGAGAAAAGCGCCGCGTCGTGTCGGTGGCGTATCAGTCGGTGCACCAGGGCTTGGTTAATCACGGGTTTGAAGCTGGGTTCAAGGTGCTCGTGATTGGGGCAAGCGGCGGGTTGCGGCACGGCTGCGATTGAATTGGCGAAGCATGGGGGGCCAGTGAAGTAGTTGATGGTGTGTGCTTCACGAAGAACGACGAACTGGTCGATTCCTCGACCGCACCATCCATTACGACGTGCAATCGATCGTGGAACAAAGGGCACTTTGACTTTGTGTTTGACACGGCATTAGCACCACCGGCGATGACGGCTTGAAAACGGCGAAAGCAGTGCTGACCGATCCGTCCAAGCACCACGTTACTCTGAGCGGTCCTGCTTCGTTTTGGCTGCGACGTCTCTCTGTTCCGGGTCGTCACAAGCAAGAGCATCAACGGTTCTTGTCGGAGGTAGTCGTGGAACTCGGTACACACACCGCTTCAAATTCGTCGCTTCGACGACTTGAGCGTCACCGTCGCATGCCACAAGCATCTGGCGGCACCAAGATCCTCCATCTCGTGCGTGGATCTCCTCTGTACATGACGCTGGAATACAAAAGCGCGGCACCGGTGTCGGAAGCGAATATCCTAGTGTCGATTCGTTTTCGAACCATCGATGCACTATCTGCACTGTCCTTGGTCGCCACCACAGCTCTTCCACAGGAAACACGGCATGCGATGCACTCCACGTGTGCCAGTGCGCGAAATTACACTGCGGCGTACACAGCAACTCGCCCGTAGCCATGCGATCGTTCACCATGGGTGCTCGGCGGTCGTTGTTCATGGGTCGCACGTGAACCACCGAAGCATCTTTCTTGTTGCCACGTGGCGACCGCAGAAGTGCTTTGGCAAGATAACGATGCCTGGGCGGCGGACTGCCAACGACGTCGAGTGCATGTCTATCGATGGCATGTCATGCGTGAAAATGCCCACTGTAAACATGCAAAATTCACGGCGCAGCCGCCCCCTGTGACCAAGACCATTGTGTTGTGCCCATCCAACGCGGGGGTCGCACCACGGGCCACGGACGGTGTTGCAAGCCATTTCGCGTGATGCGCCACGGCCAAAGATCGACATCTCGACCAGCTCACAAACAACGTGAGCCCACCAAGGTCCACAAAACAGTCGTTTTGTTTTACTCCGTCGCCACCGACGGAACCAACTAAGCCCGCTCAACCCGACATCCTCTCCACCTTGTACCTTCACCTTCGATGCCAATACCAACGGACGTACCGTCGCTGGCCATTCCACACCAACGGACACCCCAACCACCACCAAATCCCGCTCAACGACTGTGCGGCTGGGAGCCTTGACACGCACAAACCACCCCTTCTAGCGCATGCTCCACCTCCATACACGACGATGAAAGATCACCCTTC